ATAGCGATCTGCGAGTTTAGTGCAAAAACGCATGATCGCACCGGAGAGCCTGCTGCGTTCCAGCCTGGGTTGCAATTTGTTTGCACATAGGCAAAAACGCATAAAAATTAACCTTCGGCCCTTTCTTTCCTTTCCCAGCTTTGCCGTTGAGACCCGGTTGTCCTGGTAGTCCGGTAGGTCCTGGTTCACCATGAAGTCCATCTGGGCCCAGCTCACCTAAAATACATTCCCTTCACATCCTTCACTTGATCTTCTGATAAGCTGCTGTTCTATCGTCGTGTCCTTTGTCGCTGCTAATTCAGCTAACTTCTTAATTTCTTTTCATCTCACGCTTCATTCATTTAAATAGTTCAGTGCAAGCAATCAAATGGATCCATTGACTTCCCCCTGTTTTCTTTTAATCTTGCTTGAATACCACTCAATAACCCATTCTGTCTTTTGCGTCTCATCCTTTCTGCATTATCAAACCAGTTCCTTCTAGCGTACACTACCTTGGCAACTTTGCTAACGCCAACAATCATAACCGCAGTGCTTCACTGGAGATATGCTACAACTTGCCTGGACCTACCATGCATGGTTCCCTGGCGCGTTGGGCCATTACTAACTATTCTTGCTCAGTAGGCGTAGCATTTCATTTTTCATTTTTTTCCCCTTTTGTCAGCAGACCCACTGGGACAGTAAAATTCAAAAGTTCGCTTCAACAGTCAATACTATTTTAGTACTCGAAAAAAGGTCTGGTGACTTCTCGGGGGTTGCTCAATTTGCTTTTTCTGCGTTTTGCGCTGCAGCTGTGGTGCATCTATGTGCATGTGTTCAAAGAGTTGTCTGGTTTTTTAAAATTAACGCCCAGAGAATATACGGGAGCGAGAAAATGTCCTGCCTAAATTCGAAAACAGCTTTCTCGCATATGCTAATCCCAAATACGAACACGTATGACAGTTCGGCTGGATAATCATGCGTGTTTACATGTATGCACATGCAAAAATGCATATTGTGTCAGCCCATGGTGTGCAATGTGTGTATGTTTGTGTGTATATGTGTATGTGTGTGCGTATGCGCCTGTCTGGGTGTTTCAACTCGGCAACCAAGCAAGCTTCGACGCTAAAATTTTGTCAGCGGGTCCCCGGCCAAATGTCACCTCAGGACCGTGGTACCCATCTTCATGCACCCCTGAGCCCCGCATACGAGCACTTGGGGATTCTGGCGGGAAAATCGCGTACTCAGAGACCACAAAAGTTAAGAGGCCGAAATTTTAGGGAGATGTTCCCCGTCCACTTGGAACTGGAAGATTTAAAATTCAGCCCTCAGTTACGCGTGGTGCTCAAATGCGGCTCCGTGAAAGTTTTTGGCGGGAAAACCGCTGGCTCGAGAATCAGAAAAGCTGGAAAGCTGGAATTTTAACAGAATGCTCCCTGTCTAAATTAGACAATTAATTTCCTGAAATTTGATGACCAGTATGTCACAAATTCTAGCTACTGGGATTTCAAGCGATCTTACTGTAGCACGAAATACTGCAAAACGCATGATCGCACAGGCCCCGTCTGGTGCGCGCTGCCAATAATTTTTTATTTCAAAAGTAAGACAGAAAGCTCAAACTTTATGAAGATGTTTCTTGTTCATGTGCTGTCATAAAAATTTAATTTCAGCTTCTGCATGCGCCTACTTCTCACGTAAACCTAACGCTTATAAAACTGTAAAGCAATAAGCTTTCTTATCAGCACGCAAAATGTATGACCGACTATCTGCCTGGTGAGCATCGCTATTTACTTTTTCTTACATCTTTGCCCAACTCGTTATCCATTTGTATCATTCATCCAGAGTAGGCATAGTTGTCCGAAATTCGATGGTCTAATTTCTGAGCCCCGTGTCGTTGGGGTAACCTGATTTTTCCTTCGAGTATTGAAATTTTCAGTTCTTTTTGCACTGACTGCAATCTTATTTAGCAACTTCTGTAAAGATTGTGAGTTTTCTGAGATCAGCATAGTATGCAATTAAAACAACTTCACTGCTGGCAAAGATTTCTGAAGAAAAATGCCACCTTGCCTTACGGCTCCACCGGTGCTAATTTATGGATTTGCCGAAAATTGTATTTTCCGTGTATGATCCGATGAGTGAATCTTCAGTTCAAATGCGTACTGGATATAAATATTTCACTAAGTTCATGCCTGCTCCAGCATAAAGCCAGCCAAAATTAGTATCTAGAAAACCGACATCAAGTACTATATTAAAAAAACCTGGTATCCCTGGTGAGCCATTTTTTCCTGGAATACCATTGGTACCTTGCGCACCTCGTATACCACGCATCCCTGAAATGTCTTCGGCACGTTTTTCCAGCAGTCGAAAAAATTTTATTTTGAACTCAGACCTGTTTATGTGGATATCGTGCAGGCGATTCAATCTCTGCTACGAAAGTTAGAACGCTGAAATCTTAGATACGCCACGCTACTGTGCGGCCTAGGGTCCAAGTTCTGGTTAATTTTATAATCTGTACAAAATACAATATGAAAATGTCTTGATTTCTTTACAGCATGTCCCTGAGTGAAATCAGAACAGTGTGTCCGGGATCTATGTCCCTGCAGCAGAATTTCAGAAAGTCCCAACTTCGTTGCAATCACTGATCTGAATAAGCTAAGTACGAGAGATTTTATTGGTTTTCTGTGCTAGGTAGGTCAAAAACATTATACGAAAGTCCAGCCACCTTTGTGTGAGCTGAAGTATTCCTCCACAATGCATCTTTAACAACTAAACGCAACGAATGCATGAATTTTTGTTCACGTGATGCGCGCCAATGTTTATTGAACTAATTATTAACTGATTACCGGGTTTTCCAACTGCTCCAGGCGTTCCGGATGCCCCTGGTGGACAGTAGAAGCATTTACCACTTTGTTCTTCCTGAAAGTCATTGGCTGAATGTTTCTTGCTTATCGTCCTACGAATTATGCCATACAAAACATACACGTCTAAAATATAAGTCATTTGAAACTGGGACAAAAAATTACCAAAGTTAGTACGCCGGAATCTTTACCCGGAATACCGTCAACACCATCAATGCCATTTGCACCATTTTCGCCCGGAGGGCCTTTCGGACCAGGGGGTCCACGCGGACAATTATTTTGACGAACCTCACATCCTACAAAACTTGGGATTTCATATGAATGGCACTTTGAGTACCGAAACATCCATTTGCAGTGTTTTGGGAAAAAGTTAATCTTCCCTCATCCTGTCCATCATCCCATTTAAGTAGCGGAAACAATAGTAACTACTGAACTTAAAACTGGTGAAAGATTAAGTCATTCACTTTTTTTATCATTTCAAACATTTTCTGCATCGAATTTCAAAAACCTGAAATTAATGTTTTTTATTCTGGATGTCTAATTTTTTCCACCCTATACTGACGGAATTAATAGTACCCTGAGCATAGTTTTGGCCTAAACAGGAAAATTAATTCAAATGCCTCTGTAGTTCAAATTCAATTTCTTCTTTCTGATTTTGTGTCTGACATCACATTTTTCCTCAGCGGTAGTACTTGCTCAATGAGTTAACACTAGCATCAATTTACCCTCAGAAGTACCAAATCCAGATGAATGGATGACATATAAACGAAAAAGTGCAAGGCTGTTTACTAAATGGACAAATGAACTAGAAATATTCTATCTCCTTGCCGAAACACCATCATTTCTTATTTTCAGATACGATTTGTATCCAATAATCCAAGTATAACTTTCTTCTACAGCCTTAACGCCAAATTTAGCCTTATTGTGTGCTGCTTTTTTCATGCGTTTTGTGCTGTGCAACAGCTGCATAAAACGAATATTGTCACGGGGTTGTCTGTATGTGTGTGTGTGTGTTTGTGTGTGTGTGTGTGTGTGTGTGTGTATGTGTGTGTATCCGCAGCAACTGATCCGCAACTTTCAACTCGATAAACACAAAAACTAGGAAGTTGAAAATTTAGGGTAATGTTCCCCACCCACATGTGACCCCTCAAATTTAAATTCAACCTCCCCACACCTGCGGGTAACACGTACGGCCTCGTAGAAGTTTTGGTAGAAAAATTGTTATCTCACGGACCGCAAAAGCCAGGAAACTGAAATTTTAACTTGGCATGTCCCACCTATATACGACTCCATAAATCATCAATGTCCCCGTGGAAGTTTTGGTGGGGAAAATCATTATCATGGAAGCCAGGCGAGCTAGGAGGCTGAAAATTTTAGGAGGACGTTTTCTGCCTAAGCAGGGGCTCCATAAACGAATTCACTTCCAAACTATGCCGGACTCTTACGTATGAACATGTGAAAGTTTTGTCACAAAAATCACTCGAAAGCCAGAAAATTAGGGGTCTGAAATTGTAGAGGGATATTCACCCTTTAAGGTTTCTAGTTCAGATTTCACGTACTGGTGTGTGAAATTTTTATTGGGAAATTCCGCAACTAGGAACCAAACAACACTTCAACTATTTTATTACAGACCAAAATGCAAAGCAGTGAAAATCATTAGCAGGCAATCGTTCGGTAGACGGAATTGCACAGGACACATGATTGCACCGGCCGCCTTGGTGCGCGTCGCTGTTTATTTCAATAAAGTAACTTCGCACTTTTCAACTAAATTTTTCGCCCTTTTGCTAAGTTCTTCACGCCTCAGGGAAACAGGAATTTCGCGTCTTGCTTTCGCAATTTTCTTTTTTCAAATTTAGATATATTTTCTTCCCACATAGATGGTGTCATCATCTCGATGAAACGTATTCCAAGTTACTCGTTTTATCGTTCCCAGCCCTCACACCGGTCTTTCCTGCGTTCTCTCCTTCTCTCTTGCTCACACCAGATTTCCCTTCCGTCGTGGTACTGAAAATAAAGAAATTGCATTTGGAGAAAACGTTGTGGAACGGTGAAGCTTACTGCACAGAGACTTTTTGTGTGGGATACTTTGATAAATGGTGAGGTAAGATGACGGTCCTGATGGCGGATCAAACTGAACTGGCTGCGGAACTACTGGTTCAGGATGTGAATCATTGCTTTCCAAACCATCTTCAGCGCTTAAAATTGAATGACGCGCCACATCGCTGCTTTGGTTAGTCCCTTCTGCCTCTATATACTTTTCCTGGAATTGAAAATTTTTTTTACTCTTCTATCTTTGCTTCACTTATTTATTCGCATACGAAACTCAACACTTAAACAAGCAGCTGTGATCGTCTATAAACTGAAATTCACCTATGAAACGGGAAAATGAACCACATTTGCTGCGAGTGACTGGCATTGCACTTTTTGATAGCCCCTTCGAGATTAGTACCAAAGAGTTCTGCGTCTTTGAGACGCTGTCGAGTTTATTTCATAGAAGTGCAGCCACAGGTTACCCCACAATAGTGGTTTATTATTCATTTTCGAGCCCTATTAATCCAACCGCGCCTCTCTAAAACTGCAAGCAATTTGTCTTTCACCCGCTTAAATTTTTGTGTACTAGATGAAAAATAAATCTTATGTTATATTAACGACTGGCCTCATCGTTTTCATGACGTGATGGAAGTTTCCTGGCCACTCCGGATCCCGGTAATTTGTGGAAATAATTCAAGGACTTGACTTTTAAAATGCGTTCTGAAACAAAAATTTAGTGAATGCGTAATTTAAGAATTAGATCGAAACTGAAAAGGAATGAAGGAAGAATGAATCGATTTTCCTAGATCTGTAACTTGTCAGACCAATTCACAGCAAACTCAACGCTAGACACACTAAAAATAAAATGCCTCACGTTAATGGAAGATTTTTTGAAGGTAGAACAGAGACATACGGATGGAATAAGTGAAGTAAAGCGCAGAAAACTCCTTCCCCTCAGTCTCGCCCGTTCCTTATTTAGCTGAAGTACATCTGATCTAGCGTAGATACCAGCTGATTTGTAGAAATAAATTTCTGAGAGTCAGTTAATTTTTTGGGAGTTAATAACCAGGCGTTAAACATCACTGAACATTAGCATTCATCGATCTCATTAACTAATAGTAAATTTTTCAGTTTTAATCCCTCAGCATTTCCCTCAGAGACCCTGTTAGTCGCAATTGAAGGCATGCACAATTATTCTGCTAGCTCACCATATGGTTGTCGCTTTTGCCTAAGTACTTCGGAGTCAATATTCCGGCCCAGCAGTTGCATCTCGATCCACGTCATTGACGATTGCTTCTGCAAATCTTCAAATGTGTTGGCAGAACTGCAACTAGCTCATTTTAACGAGAGCACTTCTGGATACAGGTTCTTAACACGGCTTATCCTTTTGGACTTAACTACTTATCATGTCTTACGGGAATGTATCAGACGAACTCCTACCATTCACTATGGGTAGAAATCTTTACTTCCAAGTACCTCTGCCTCGAAAGTGCAGAAGGCATGGTAGACGCAGTCTTAGAAATAAACTGGGTAACCAGGAAGCTATCGACTTTGCGTTTACTTGTGATACTGATACCCCTCAGGCAATTCGGCAGTTGCTTAATAAACTTCACAGTTCCAACAACACAAGTTGCTTCGACAACTTGTTTCTACTGAGGTACTGCCATTTGCAAAAGCCTGCATTCTGCAAGGGTTTTTACTTTCCCGTCTTAAAACTCCTGCACGTCCAAGTCGTGATGATGTTTTCTACTTCACTCTTCCAAATCCGGGAAACGCATTTATCAATCTCAATCTTCGTAGCATCTTTTGTGACAATTTGGCAAGACGATTATTCCCAATACATCCATTCCGTCGTATCACTACCAGTTTCACATATCAAAACCCTATAAGCTGTCACATTATGAGCTACACCAACTTTCTCAGACACCCTAGTGATAGACTTGCGGAGCTTGCTAACTTATTACCTTCACTTTGTCATTGCGCGCATTCTGTTCACCTCTACGAACCCGCAGGTCACATTGTAACCAAGTAACCTGGTAACCGCCAGCTAAGAGACGTTATGAATAAGGGCAATAAATTCAGACTACCTACTGTTAAAACCGTAGGCGAAGTTGTAACCGATATTTCCAATGCATTGGGCGCCTTCAACTCTGTTATGGCAAGTCGGATCAGTACCACGGTTCCTCAATATTGACAATTTCAAGCATAGCTGTAGCACGTTGAAGAACCACTTATCGTTGTTGTCCCTCCAATTTAGTCAATATTGATTTTGACAGAGCTTTGCGTGAGGCGCACAGACGATTTGTCATAACCTCTGTTGACAAGGCACCAAATAACTACATAATTACATGTAAAAAGTACTATGCTTTGCTGCACTGTAATGAGCTCGGACTCGCCGCACTTAATCACATCCAAGGGAATAGTGTGTACAGGGCGGTGCCGTTTTCTGTTCAACAACTGGTCACCGACCACCACAAAATTCTAAGTCAACTTCACATCACCAACGATGATGCATCGATCCCCTTCATCTACGCTGTTCCAAAGCTTCACAAGAACCCCTGCAGATATAGGTTCATAGCTGCGGCAAATAAATCATCCCTCCGAAGCCTCTCCATTACTATGCACCGCCTGTTAGTTCACTTTAAGACTCATTTCCGTAATTTCTGTATCCAAGCAACTGCGTGCAACGGACGGCTGTTTATTTTAGCATCAGTAGTTCACTAGCAGTGGTGCATAAGCTCACTGCACTAGGCAGGACGATTGAACATTTATACACCGCAGAATTCAGCAACCTTTTTACCAGTCTGCCGC